AAAAATTAAATCCAGTGACTTTTGCACTGGCAAGCAACACTCCCTATGCCAGTGCCTTTGTTTTTAATTTTGGATGGATGCTGTATTTTGTTTTTGTAGATATCATTGGATAGAATGGGTTAAAACCCCCTACATCTCAGTGAGGAGGGTTTTTCATTTTTCTGTGTCTTGAGCACAGTGTCTGTTTCGTATGTGTGGTAGATTTTCTCAAAATCTCTGAAATAAATACATGGGGTTTTTTTTTAAGCTGCATTTTCATTTGAAAAAAAATCCACTAAAGAAAGTTAAAATTTGCAAACTGTAATTTTAGATTGGAAGTCATTTTTGTGTCAGTGTTCATTGTCTGTCCTTAAAGTCTTGTAGCTTCTTATGGCACAGATATATTTTGGAAGTTGGTTGAAGTTGGTAGCACTGTTTTCCAGAGAAAAAATTTCCTTCTTAATTAGTATCTACTTTCAAAAAACATCTTTTCCCTTGTGAAGAGCTTATTTCAGGGATAGCTGTGAGTGTTTCTGCATCATGAAAAATATGAAATTGAAGTGTGAACATCTAGAAGATTTTTAAATGTCTAGATGTTTAGCTTTAGAAATAGCAAATTGTATCACTTTCAATAACCGGTTTGCAATAGCAGATGAGTGATTTCTTTCTACTTTTAGTCTAGCAGTTTTTGGCGCCTGTATATTAGGAGTAAAAATATTATCAATTGAAATATATTCTTACTCTTTAATGTTCTAGGAATTAGGGTGTCAGTTTCAAGAAGAAAGAGGTTAAAACATTTGGAGAGCATTTCATTTTTCATTTTGCTACTTGGCAGTTTCACATTTCTATATCTTGAAAAGTCTTTGTATTTTAAACCAACAGGAGCATTTTATAAAGTTCATTTGGAAAAAAAAATCTAGAGATATAAAGAAACACCTGTTATTAAATTACACTTTATCACTGGGCCCAAGATTCACCCTCTATAATTACTTGTGAAAGTCTGTATTTATGACAGAATAATATATAATACTTGTAGTTTAGGTATAACAATACCACCAACACTTGATACCATGAATTTGCAGGGATCGTATATTCTGCCCTGGAGGCATTATTGCTGGGTAAGGATTATTCTTGGTATAAGGTGAGAGCCTAGTCTTCCCTTGCCCAGTTTTGAAACCCCAGCATCCCTGGATGTTGACTGGGATTGTTTACCCAGCGCCTCTTAGCAGGACTTTACATGGTGCTCAAGTGTGTGGAGGGCATAGGTGTGTTCCACTCACTGCTTCCTTCAACAGCTTCTATCTTCCCACCGGATATGGTGTAAACTGGGCTGAACTTGGTTGGTTGGAATGTTCTGAATTTGTAAAGTTGATTCCTGTGACTTCATGTTAGATTTTCCCACTTTTTGGCCATAGCCTGCACAACCTTTAGAGAGGCAGATCAGCCCAGAAATCTGCAGAGAGAGAGTGTGGACAAATCAGTACAATCCAACATCACTCTCTGAGAAGTGACCACAAGCGCTTGCTGCACTGGGGATGTCACAGTGGCAGGTACAAAAGGTGGCCCAAGAGAACGCAGAAGAGACTTTATGCCGCCCAGTGGCTCATGACTGGCGGACAAGCTGCCGACCAGAGGTGATTCTACTGTGGCCTGTTCTGCAGATCAGGAAAATAGGTTCAGAAATAAAATTTTGTATTGTCTGATTTATAATCCTGCCATCCAATATCCAGTTGTTTGGAATAGTACATCCTTTACCGTCTTGAAAAAACTACTATATTTTCTTAATGGCAGATATGGCAGATTAGCCAGAACATTATTCCTTAGTTCTCCTTTGGGTAAACTTGCCCTTTGAGTCACTTCTTCTGTAGTCTGAAGCATTCTGTGGAAGAATGAACTTGGTGATAGACCGAGAGACATTTTCCCAAATGTCTTCAGTGTCTGCAACTGATCCAGGGTGGGGGAAAAATTACCTTTTAAAATGGGAAGTTAGGTTCACACACTGCTTTTGAAAGTATGCTTTTGAAAATATTGAAATATCAAAATTAGAGCTTTTTAAAAAAATTTGTTGTTACGCTTTCTTTTCTAGAAGAGCCAGCTGTTTCTTGCTTTAAAACAATCCCACCATCCCTTATATTGCTGTAACGCTGTGCATCATATTTCTTTCACTTTTTCATTGTAGTAAAATACAGATAACATAAATTTTACTATTTTAACCCATTTTAGGGATGCAATATAGTGACATTAAACACATTCATAATGCTGTGCAGCCCTCACCACTTTACATTTTTGGAACTTTTTATCATCCCTAACTGAAACTCAATACCATTTAGACAATATATCTCTGTTACTCCCTCCTCCAGTCCCTGACAATACTGTTTTCCTTTCTGTCCCTATGAGTTTGCCTGTTCTAGGTTTGTTATATAAATGGTATCATAGAATGGTTTTCCTTTTGTGTCTGCCTTATTTTACTTAGCATATATTCGTGATTCATCCATATTGTAGCATATGTGAGAATTTCATTCCTTTTAGACGCTGAATAATATTTGATTGTATCTATAGACCACATTTTGTTTATCTGTTCATCCATCATTGATGGATGCTGGGTTTCTTCCAACCTTTGTCTCTTGTGGATAATGCTGCTGTGAACATTTGTGTTCCGTGTGTGCATATTTGCCACTTAGCAATTTTTCCCTGGCTGTGTTTGCTTTCTCCCCACACATGCATCTCATCTCCCCAACTTGGTAATAAATTCCACAAGTTAGGGGCCAGTCTTACATCTGCCGATGTTTTCTTCCCTTGGTGTCTTGCAGGGTACAGTGATAAAAGTACTTCATGCTGATAATAATAGATAATGAAAGTTAAATAAGAAAACTGTTTAGAGAAGCACAGTGTTTAAAACCTTACTTTATGTCCATATTTCCCCCAGGGGAGTATTTGACTTGTTTTCCTAAGCTCCAGTGAGCAGAGGCCAAGATCCAATTGTGCATTGAGTTCAGTGCTGAGTTAACATACTGTCACTGTCTGCTCATTGTCAAGTGTTTAATGATAGAGTAACACCAAGAGGTAGGTATAGGGTCATGGGTCAGGAAACTTTAGACAGGTCTACCTGCTTACAATATGAACCTGTGGAAGCTTTTCTGTTGCTGTTTTTCTCCTTGGGATCAAAGACAACTACCACATTAACCCAGGAGATGAAAATTGGGTCACCAATCCTAGATTCTGCTGAAGAGGATATGTCATATTTCTCTTGCAAAAAGGTCTCTTGTGCATATCCCGGAATTGTTACAGAAAGCAAAAATGGCTTCATTCCTGTTGACTGAAGATGGTCCCCACACTGACACCTGATATTTTGTATTGGAAAAAGAAGCAGTTTAAATGCAAATTTGGGATAGGTATGAATTTGTATCAGATTTACAGTTGAAAGTTTCACCGATATAGTTTAAGGATATTTTTTTTGAAGAATTTATTTATGCTTAGGACATATTTATTGGTTTGTAAAGAATCAAAGTTTTGTCTTTCAATTATAATTAATGTACCTCTCATATTAGAAAAAAGCTCACAAAAGGGTCTTTGTTTAAGGCTTTTAAAATAAACAACAACAAATAGGAGGAGATGGAGTTTAGATGCTGCTTTGATAAAATTTCACCAGCTGGCTTTCTACACATCATCAGGTGTGCCCAGAGAGGAGGCGACAATTAGGCTATTCAGGCAGGGGCAGTGGAAAACACAGGCCAACCGGTTGTTTACAACGACAATTGGGTCATTAATAATTTCCATCTTCAGATCAGTTACGTTGGCTCTGAGTAGACACAGCCAGTACGTGTTTTAAGAAAGATAAAAAATCCACTTGTACACTTGTATATAACTTAATAAAGAATATGCTTCTTTATTCTAAAGGTCTCTTAGAACTTACTTCTGCAACCAAACCAGTCTTTCTTACTTCTTCCTTCCTTTCTGCCTCTTTAGCACAGTCACACTAGCCCTCGTCAGGGGGTGAGTGATGTCTTAGACCAAAATGTTAAATTTACAACTGGTTTACTGGTTTACTTCACAGCAAAGCTCTGCTTTATTTGGGAAGCTTTGTTTATCTCTCTCTCTTTTTTTTTTAAACATAGTTCAGGAAGGTATCTTGAAGTCCATCCTATACGCTTTTTACGCCCCAGGTCCTGGAGTTACGGACACACAGTTTCATTGGTGGGTCTTACACTCCAGGTCCTGGAGTTATGGATGCACTGTTGTTGGTAGGTCTTCCTCCCTGGCAGTTTCATAAGCCTTCTCCAGGCATCTGTTTCTCCCTCTCTGCATCCTGTCCCACACCCAGGTTTCACAGGTGGTGCGGGTTATAGGCAACCAAGTCTTCTGGGATCGTGAGTGGCCTTTTAAGAAAGGTTTCCATGTACGGAGGCTTCTTTCACTCTGGCAATCATATTGACTTGTTATTCTACTATCCTGATGAAACATACTGATGACTTATATAACACATATATATGTGTGTGTGTGTTCACATATAACACAGAATCTGCCTAGGGAAAATGGTTTTAAAATATTAAAATTTCCCTTGGGTGTATGGGTCATGCACCAGCTATTGCAGCTGTTGATGTCCTTTGGTGGCTCTAGACCCCTCATTTGGAGAAGAGGAGCTAGAAAACAAGCCCAAGTTCATTTTTCTGTTCGTCCCTGGATGGTGTTTATCCCCAGTCTGATCCGCATTTAGACTGTCACTGCTAGATAGCCACATCGTTTTTGGTTGTGGTTCCTTCCTCACTGTTTTGTGTTGAAGGCAAGCTTTCCTGCACAGCCCATTCTGAGAAATCACTCTGGTGTCTAGATCCTTACTTACAGGGTTTGTTCGTTTTTTGCCATTTGCTAATGACGTAGTTTGGATAATTTTCCGGCTTGCAGTATGTTATACCCCACAGAGAAGCAGTTCCCCTTGCAAAAAGGGCAGGTAGGGCCCTCTTCTGAGCACGTGTTCTCTGCACACCAGGAGAGGATTCAACCAGCTGTTCTCTGCTTTTCAGATTTGACAGAAGAACGACTTGGGGACGGCAGCACCGCTGACAATGCTGAGACTTTCAGCGACAAAGACACAGACCAGAGGAGCTCCCCAGACGTGGCCAAAAGTAAGGGCTGCTTCACACCTGAGAGCCCTGAGATCGTATCAGTGGACGAAGGGGGATTCACGGTCCAGAAGAACGGGGCCAGCTCAGAGAGCCGGCCCGACAGCCCCAAGTACCCCGGGGAGCAGAGCCACCTCCTGATCGAGGGCCCCTCGGGGACCGTGTCTCTGCCCTTCAGCTTGAAAGCCAACAGACCGCCCCTAGAAGTGCTGAAAAAGATATTCCCCCACCAGAAGCCCGCGGTGCTGGAGCTGATCCTCAAGGGCTGTGGGGGCGACCTGGTGAGCGCTGTGGAGGTCCTGCTCTCCAGCCGCTCGTCCTCCTCGGCCGCCGAGCGGACTTCTGCCGGGGAGCCCGAGGGCCTGGTGCTGCCCTCCAACGGGCACCTCTTCGAGCACACCTTGAGCTCCTACCCCCTCTCCTCGTCCAAGTGGTCCGTGGGGTCGGCCTTCAGAGTCCCCGACACGCTGAGGTTTTCTGCCGACTCCACCAACGTGGTCCCCAACCCCCTGGCCGTGCCCCTGCAGCACCCGTTTCCCCAGCCGCCCCGGTACCCTCTGATGCTGAGGAACACTCTGGCCAGAAACCAGTCGAGCCCCTTTCTGCCCAACGACGTGACCCTGTGGAACACCATGACGCTGCAGCAGCAGTACCAGCTGCGGTCCCAGTACGTCAGCCCCTTCCCCACCAACCCCACCAGCGTCTTCAGGAGCTCGCCCGTCCTGCCCGCCCGCGCCCCCGAAGACCCTCGGATCGCTCTCCCCGACGACGGGTGTGCCATGGTGGCAAAGCAGCCCATTTACACCGAGGACGACTATGACGAGAGGTCTGACTCCTCAGACTCCCGCGTACTCAACACGTCATCTTAAGGCGCCGCCCGGGGGTGGCCAGGTGACGTCCTCCGCGCGTTCGAACCCTGCGCCCCTCCCCTGCGGAGAGGCCAGGACCTGTGCACACCTTCTCCTGCCGTGTGACAGAGTGACCCTGCTTGATTCTAGACCTTAGCGATAAAGCACATAACTTATTTAATTTCTTGCACTTCACTGGAAAATGCCAAATAGCTTTGCTCTGTGGCTTTAGTGCTGAATGTTGGTTGTCAAAGAGAGTCTGATGCTAAGAATGGTCTGGGGAAAGCCCTGGGCCCGTGGAAGATGTCTTTGGGGACATAAAGCCGAAGGTCGGCCCCACCCCTAGACTCAACCTGGAATCTTCAGTAACATAGTGTACTTGAAAGCAATTCTGTAAAAGAGGATTCCTCAGGATAATGAAACCTAAAGACGTGGTTTGGTTGTAGACGGACTATAAACGGGGGCCTCATATTCCTATGCTAAAAATCCTTCTTGCATTTTCAAGAGAGACTGCACTTAATAGAGTGAACTGCTCACATGCTTATTTAAGCTTGGACAGTTTTCAGAGACAGACTCCATTAAGAATTATTCTTTTCACATGGCTGAATCAAAACATGTGTAATGTCAATGTAAACCCAATCACAGCTGTGAACTGCATGAAATATATTGTGAAATGAACACAAGATTAAGCTTTGTCAGGTTAATGTAGCATGCTAAGGACTCTAGAAAAAAATAAACTAAGGAGATGATCTTGGTTTATGTCATTTCTGCCTATGAAAAGAGGATCTCTAAAAATAGAAACTTGATAAAAAAGCTACTTACTAGTGCATGGATCAAGGTTTCAGTTAAACATGACGCTGCTTGAGAAATATGAATGGCAAAGCTTTGAGGCCGCATTCAGAAAGAGAATTGATTATTCAAGAAGAGAGTTAATTCAGTTCCTCCATCCATTGGTTTCTTCAACAGATTCTTACTGAGTGCCTACTCTGTGTAAGAGGATGCTCTTTGTATGCTATTGTCCAAGTTATCTGCCCACGAGTCCAAGATAGCAGGGATTATATAATGGAGAATCTCATTAAAAACAAAGTAAAAATGAAACAATCTACAGTGTGGAAAGTAAGCAAAGTGCTTAGCATGGTACCTGATGTAGAGAAAGTACTCAGTAAAGGAGAGTAGTTACTCCTCTTAGGTTCAGGCTATACTCCTATTTGCAGCCAGGATTGTAGAAGTGAATTCCCTCATCTCACCAGAGAAGATGCCATTCCGGTTTGGCAGATAACCACAACAAAGCGTTGGAAACCAGGACTCGCCCCTTCATTTAAAAAGCACTTGGGTGGTGCTGTACCTGGTCAGGTACTTTCATAAGTGGTTTTTAAACAGTCATGCACAGTGGTGCCCACACCAGCCACTTTCTTACTGTTTTCTTTCTTCAGAGTGCTGGAGAAGAAAGGTGACTGCCCAGGTTAGACAAGAAACTTGTGAATGTGGAAGGGAAAGAAAATAAGAAAATAAATGAAAGCCCCTACCTGAAAGGGTGCAGTGAGAGAGAGCTCCCCGCACAAGAATAAGTCTTGAAGGGATCTTCAGTCTGGGAGGGAGAAGAGCAAATCCTCTTGGCCTGAGGTGCTTCCTCAATGAGGAACAGGAGCTAAGGTCACCTGCCCACCATCCTTGCATGGGTCTCAGGAGAAAAAAAGATACTTAAAACAAAATCTTGTTTTTATTTCTATTGGGCACCCTGGGAATGAGAAGTCATTGAGAAAAACTCCTTATATTAGTTGGACTAATATGTATTTAATTGACATGAGTTCATACCAGGGTGTTTCGAAGTAAGTGTGATTTCTTGTTAAGGTTATATTTATTTTTTTATTTGGAGGATTATTGGCTTATGATATTGTGTTAGTTTAGGCTGTACACAACACCAGTCAGTTTTTTGTGAGTGTGTGTGTGTGTGTGTGTATCCCCTTCTTCTTGAGCCTCCCTCACCCCTTCCCATCCTACCCCTCCAGGTTAAGGTTATATTTAAATATTAGTATTTATATAAATGAAGAAAGGGCTAGAGAGAAGAATAATGTAAAACATTATTCTCTCTCCCTGATTCTAAAAACATGTGTCCAGGAATTTTTTATGGTAGTGATGGGCTAATGTCAGAGCCTACCTAACACAATTGGATTTTCAGAGGTATCTTCATCTCAAAAGTTTATCTACATTTATCTAACAAGTAAGAGTGATTACAGATCCCATATGAGGTGATAGAACTATAAAACATGTCACATTTTCAGGTTGAATGACCTGGGTTGAGGAAAGCTTGGCTTAAGATACTATATCCTGACAGTTTGATTTTGCCCACAGATTATCAGAGTCCTTGCCTTCTTTTTCCAATGGCCAGCAATATGGAATTTCCTATAAGGCAGCTCATTCCTGGGCTACTGCAGGTATGTTTGATCCTCAGCATACTCTTCGGAAGCAAGAAATAACTTACTTTGGTGCGGTAAGTGTAGTCGGGGGTCAGAGGGAGAAATCGATGGTAAAGATCCTGTGCCCTGCTTCCTGCGTTCAGTTTTGCTTCTCCTGCAGTTCTGACAACTAAGGCCCCTCTAGTAAAAGTGGCAAAACCTTTTCGATTCCAGCTCAATTCTGAGACCATCCTGCCATGGTGGCATGTAGAATCAAAGGAAATGAACACTCTTCTGCTCATGGGGACTCAGTTACTCCTTCACAGGAAAATCAACATCTGGATGAAAAGTGAAAAACAGCATCATTCAACTCCTAGTTAAATCCCATCATCACACAGAAAGTATCTGGGTACTTGGCTGTACGCTTGTGGTTGAATCAGGCCAGGCTTATAGAGAGTTAACTCATATTGACCACAGTGCCTCTCTCCCCTGCTAATGAGGACCTGCTAGTCTTAGGGTAAATGCTTTGTTCACCTGTGATGTGAGGGTGGGTGAGTTGTCATGGTGTCCTGCGCAGTTTGTCTCAGAGTGTGGTCCAGGCACCCAGTGCTTGATTTCTAGTTTAGATTCCTGGGCTCTACTTGTTGAGTTCATAACCCCTGTAGCCTGAGCTCCTGCATTTTTACCATCCTCTCCAGGTAATTCTTAAATTCACTGCGATTTGAGAACCACCTCACTCTGCATCACATCCTTGCGTTCCTTTCTTAGATCTGTGTCAAGTAATAGCAAAAGAGCTGAGGGATGTAAACTCTGATGGTGGGGATTTTGAAACCCCCTTCCCCTCCTCCCTACTTTCCTATATAAGAGTAAACACTGTGTATGCATGCAGTCTTCTTTAGCTTATACCCTAGAGATAGTTCAAGTTAGCTTCAGGGTCAGTGTTAATGATTAGATTGAGTGCACCTTTGGGATTAGAAATGCCTCTTTCTGGAAATTTCCATTAGTAAAGGACCAGATATTAGCATAAACATGCTACCCTTTCCCCTAAGGGGAGTTTTGCCAATTTTTAAGTTGTTCCATGATTCCTGGCTTAATAGTGACACCTAGAAATAGGTTTTGTCCTGGAACTTTGAGTTCTAATAGATATTCATAAACCTTCCCCTCTCCCCAGGTTTTTTGAGGTATAATGGACATGTAGCATCATTTAAGTTGTACAGTGTGATGATTTGACATATGTATATGTTGCAAAATGATTACCATAATAAGATCAGTGAACACATCCCTCACTTAATGACTTTTTTGTGGTGAGAATATTTAAAATCTGTTCCCTTGGCAACCTTCAAGTATACAATACAGTATTGTTTACCGTAATTACCATGCCATACATCAGATCCCCAGAACGTAGTCATCTTATAATTGGAAGTTTGTATACTTAGATCAGCATCTCCTGTTTCGCTCACCCCTCAGCCCCTGGCAACCACAGGTTTACTCTCTTATTTCTATGTGTGTGTGTGCTCAGTCTCTTAGTTGTATCTGACACCGCATCCCCATTTACTAGAGCCCACCATGCTCCTCTGTCCATGGAGTTTTCTGGGCAAGGATACTGGAGTGGGGTGCCACTTCCTACTCCAGGGGATCGTCCCAATTCAGCAATCAAACCCTAGTCTCTTGCATTGGCAGGCGAATTCTTTCTCACTGGTGCAAAGTGGGGAGCCCCCTATTTCTATGAGTGGCTTTTTTAAGATTCCATGTGCAAGTAAAATCATATAGTACTTGTCTTTTTGTGACTGGCTTATTTCACTTAGGATGTAATATTTTCTTTATCAATTCATCCATGGATGGAGACAGGTTGTTTTCATATCTTGTGAATAATACTGCTACGTACATAAAGTGCAGATTATCTCTGAGATAGTGTTTTCATTTCCTTCAGATAGATTCCCAGAAATGGAATTGTTGGATCGTAATGTAATCTATTTTAAGTTTTTGAAAGTGCACGAGGGCTCCCTTTTCTCCATATCCTCACCAGCACTTATCTCCTGTCTTTTTGGTAATAGCCATTTTAACAGGTATGAGGTGATATCTCACTGTGGTGAAATACCAGTGCTTTTTTTTTTTTTTTTCCTGTTTCTTGTTTTTATTTATTTTTTGAACTTTTTAGAAGCAACATTTCGCTTGATTTTATTCTTCTGTCCATGGTTAACATTAATTACAGGTGATAATATAATTTGAGTATAAAGCATTAAATTTTTCGAAAGAGATTTTGCTCTTAATTTTTTTCAGTGAAGAAGTGAATAAGACTTACAGTAAACGAAATAGACTCACGAACATGCCCGTCCTACTGCAGAAAAAAAAAACTAATATAGTAATTTGCAGTATACTTTCATAATTCCACAGTGGAATCTCCAGAAATAATATGTAGAAATAGAAGTTCATTGTAAATGTATATCTATTGCTTATTCCCAAACCTGTTTTAAAGTTGCTATCACATCTGGGCCAGATTGTAGGAACTACGCAATGAAATGTAGAAGCATTTCTATTCTATCTATATTATCTCAACACTTGATGATGGGAAAAATGAAAGTAGTTTCACAAATGTCTTGAGAAGCAAGGCATTTGTTAGCCAGG